CACTGTGTATATGGCGTGTTCCTCCTGGGTGGTTTGTAAGAATTCTACAGTTTCCCCGAGCATTCCCCCTTTCCTCTTCTCCCATTCTCACCTACCATCTCCACACTGCCAAATCTGATACAGCACCGCTTTAAAAGATTCCCTGCCTTCACAGAATCTCTTTCCTTCCCGAAGGGGCCTTCCCCTTCCTGCCGGCTTCCTGCCACCTTGGTTTACTTCAGAAGTCATTTTTTACTACAATGCCACTCTACCCAGCCCAGGATGAATCAGTAGTTCCCTCCTCTCACAGCCCTTCTTCATTTCTTCATCATTCATGTTACACAATGTGTCCTTCATGTCCCTCTCCTGCAGTAGATAACGATGATAGTGATGCTGAATTTCCCTTGTTGACCTGGCATTTGGCTCTGTCAGATGCCAAGCAAATGCCGTTACAGTAACTCAAATGACTAACTGGTCTTGCATGACCTGTGCCAAATTGCTCTATTTCTGTGTCTTACTTCTATATCTGTAAACAGTAATCATAATGGTCTGCTTGGTAGTTATCTACATTTATTACCTGCCATTTCAGTTCATTGCCTGATGAGTAAATAATTCATCTGTTTAGTCAATATGTGTTGAGATGTTGCCATGGGTAGACACAGTGTCCCACTATAGGTAAACAAAACATGGAGGTTAGGTATAATTTATGGAGGAGAAGGGAAAAACCAAATCGTTTAAATAGGGATATAGGTGAATCCATTGCAACAATGAGATGTACAAGTGGTTATGTCGAAAACGAACTTTACAACTTTGGTGGGGGGGGAGGAGGATTGTGTGGGGAGGCGGGGGGGGAGAGGATGGGAAGGGATGGGAAGGGGAAACAAAGGAGGAGGCAACAATGCTTGGTAAGAAATGTACTCATTACCTTGCCCATGCCCATGTAATTGTAACCCCTCTGTACGGTATTTTCACAATAAAAAAATTTCTTTAAAAAGTAGTTTACTTCTCTTTGATTTGGCTGAGAAAAACATAGAACATTGAAAGAATTTAAGACCATGGGGTACTTTATGATAGCTAATTTTCTGTTTCTTTGCAGGAGTTTTTGTCAGAAAGTGAAAATGGACAGCATAAGCTAAACATGATGCTGTCCAAAGGAGAACTTCTGAGCTCTCTGCTGACCAAAGAGAAAGCGAAAAGTGTCCAGGCCAAAGTTGCAACTGCAAAAGAAGATTGGAAAAGTTTTCATTCAAATCTCCACCAGAAGGAAGCTGCCCTGGAGGTACAATAGAGAGCCAGAGGGACACATTCTATGTAGCTCATTGTTAATGCTCATTAACCCTAAGCCCCAAGGTCAGTCTCTCACTGGACATTTCAATGAGTTGGCCACCTCTTGGCATATAAACAGCCAATTCATACGCAAATGGTAACTGTGATATGTTTCTCAGTGCTGAGGATGTCAGCTGATGTGAGGAATTCCTTGGCTTCCTGGGAGGGGAGGAAATCCTCACAGACTTACCCATGTGCTTTCCCCAGAGGGAGGAACCAGCGCCATGGTTCAGCATGGTACTCCATCCTGTGCTTGAAATATCTCCCGTTTGGAATCTGTGGTAGGAGAATGCGGGCAGTTTAGGGCCTGTGCACATGTCAGGTGGTAGATTTTAGGAGGTAAGTGTGCAAAGGCACAGTGCTTCTGCCCTTTCGTTTCCCCCCAGGCTCGTGTAAGCATCGCATCATGCCACAATGCACTGACTTAGTTTCTACTTTGTGTATCAGCTCTTCTCTCAGGAGAAAACACAAAAAAAGACCCATGATTTGATGATGACCATAAGTAATGAGGAAACAAAACAGATAATAATAGAGAATTGCTGTTCAGAAAGAGAATTTTGTACTTCTTCGATTCTTTTCCAACCCAAGACCGTCCTCTTTTGAAGCAGCTGGCTTTCCATGACAGGCATTCCCAATTTAATAAAGAGACAGCCATAGTAGAGGGCCTGGAAATTCACCCTTAATGCTCTGAGAACCAGTATGGCAATGTGGCCCAAGCTCCCACACTTGGGCTGGGTTATGTACTAACACATACAGTGTGGTTTGCAGGATTACCTTGTGCAGGAGTAGGGAACTAGGTCAGGAATGGTCAGCTTTGTTAATCTGCTGTCCTCATGACAGGCATAATTATTTCATTTGATCCATTTCTACCTTTCTCCCACCCTTTTTTCCTAATAGGAAGGGAACACTAATAAATGCCCAGAATGAGTAGGAACTAAAGGAGTGATACGCCAGTGGAAGTTCCCTTTCTGAAGGGTAGCCAATCTCTAAAGAGAGACAGTTGTCATATAATCTAGGTGTGTCTGGGGTTGGGAGCTGGCACCCACTCGTTGGTGAGTGGCTCTGACTCTATTTGAAGAAGCCAAGGCAGGTGCCCAGAGAAGTGACATTTAAACTGAGCCTTGAAGGCTCATCACACACTCCTTGAAGTTGCCAAGACTAACATGAATTTCACACAGAAGGAGTTGAACGTGCGAAGAGTATCCTGAGCACTAACTATAAATTGAGAATGTGGAGAGTTTATTTTTGATATTGACATGAGGGTTTCTTTGCAAGAAAAACAACAGAGAGATACTAGAAACAAAAGGCCAGATAGTAAAATGTCAAACTGTAATTTGACCTTGATCCTTAACTGTGAATTTGAGGTCAGTCTGGGCTACTTAGTGGGCCCTATCAAAAGAAAAGAAGGAAGGAAGGAAGGAAGGATGGAAGGAAGGAAGGAAGGAAGGAAAAGGTAGAAGGAGAAAAAGGAAGGAAGAGAAGGAAGGGAAGGGACTTAGGCTTAGACCAAGCTGTTTAAATTGCTGATGAGTTTTCAAGCATATCTTTGGTTCATGTAGTAACACAAGTAACAAATTCAAATTCACCTTACTCTAGGCACTTTATAAAGAATAACCCACAGCTGGACACTGGTGGTTTACACCTAAAATCCTAGCTACTCAGAAAGCTTAGATCCAGAGAATCGTGATTGGAAGCCAGTGTAGGCAGAACAGCTTGGGAGAACATGTCTTCAGAATAACCAACCCAATGCCAGTCTGGAAGCATGGCTCAACTTGTAGAGCTCCAATGGAACAAGAAGGCTGGGTCAGCACAAGGCCCTGAGTTCAAATCCCAGTACCAGAAAAAAGTCAGAAATGGTAGGTAGCTTTGCAAAAGAAAAATTGTACCCTATATCACATTATTGTCACATTTCCAGAATAGCTGTGGGAGGATTCATAATAATACTAATAAGCATATAATGGCATTAGGTATTTATCTCTTTAATAATCAGAACAAACGTTTTAGGAGACATAACCAATAGGTAAATCATAAATGTATTGGCTTTAAGTGAATGTCTTTGGACTGGCATCCCCTCCCCGTTTTATCTAAACCCTTGCAGAATCTGAAGATCCAAATGAAGGACTTTGAAGTAAGTGCAGAGCCTATACAGAACTGGCTGAGCAAAACAGAGAAGCTGGTCCAGGAAAGCAGCAACCGCCTGTATGATCTGCCTGCGAAGAGGAGAGAGCAGCAGAAGCTCCAGGTGATCTGACCCGGCCAGCTGTCTGCTGGCATCTCCGTCCCTTCCTCTGCCCACCCACTCTGAGATCACATGCATGCTGGGCACCCTAGAGTTAGGTGGTAGCACCTTTCCCCTTTCCTGACCAATGTGATGTTTCTCTGACTTTCCCTTGAGGTCTGACTACTTGTGCGCCACTGTGTGTAGCTTGGAAATCCTACAGCCTTCAGGGAACTCTGATGGCTTGCCAGTGTGTATTTCCCTGTCCTTTGAGCCAGAGCTCCGTCTGCCACGTGCTTTTCCCAGCCCCTGAATGGTAACTCGCTGCTTGTGCTTTTCAGTCTGTCCTTGAGGAAATCCACTGCTACGAGCCTCAGCTCAGCAGGCTGAAAGAGAAAGCTCGGCAGCTGTGGGAAGGACAAGCTGCCAGCAAGAGCTTTGTGCACAGAGTGTCGCAGCTGTCTTCTCAGTATCTAGCGCTAAGCAATGTAACCAAGGTAACTAACGCCAGTCTGTGCTGTGTGTGAGTGTGATGCGGAGGTCTCCAAATGGGTGTTGCCCTAGCCTGCTCGGGGTGGACGCCCTGCCCCACCCACAGGCCCGTGACTCTGGGTCAGCTGCTTCCTAGCCTTCAAGTTTAAGGTTAGCCTGTGTTACACCTTAGTGTGGCTCTCTGACATGGCAAAGGAAATCCCAGAGACAAACGGGCCTTCCAGTCTCTGTGATGACCCCAAATACTCCTGTCACTATGAAAAGGACATGTTCTCCGGGACTTGGATTTTTGAAGACTGGATGCCTAAGGATAAGTCAAAATTTAAGAGTTTCTGCCCTAAAGAACCTCTGATTAAATTATACTCGGAAAACATGAGCTGGAAGCCATTCAAAACTCAGTGTGGATAATGTTTGTTTGTTTTCTTAATTAGCTCAGAGTCCATACATTCATGACAGTAGTTCAGGATGTGTCAGTGGAGGATTTCACTTCAGATCCTAAAGCTGAGCTCAGAATTAGCAATGATTCACAAAATGGGTTAAATCACCTCAAATAGCTTGTAATAAAGCAGATGGGACTCCGGAGACCTTACTGAGAACACTTGATGTGAGTGCTGTCCCTGAGCTTCTTTTTGTTCAAGGCTAGCACTCTGCCACGTGAGCCACAGCTCCATGTCTGGCTTTTGGGGTAGTTTAGTAGAGATAAGAGTATCACAGACTTTCCTGCTCAGGCTGGCTTCAAACCATGCTCCACAGATCTCGGTGTCCCGAGTAGCTAGAATTATAGATATGAGCCATCAGTGCCCCGCTAAGAATCTGGTTTTGATTGTGTCTTTTCTTTCATGTGCTTTTTTCTGTGTTACTGAGATTTTTTTCTGGTCTGCTCATTTGAATTTTCAGTGAACATTGTTAAGATAGTCATAGTAGTATAGGTCATCCTGTAATCTTAAATGTGTACCATGTTTATTTGTTGAGTGGATTGATTTTTTTCATTCTTTCAAAGTCCTGGCACATCTAAAGTTATAGAATGAGAACAGCTTTCTGTTCATTGGAATTTACTCAGATCTTTCAGAAGTAATAGATTCTCTAATGCTTTAGGAACTGTAGACTGTTCTTTAATGTCTTCACTATAATGCACATAGCCTGTAATAAGTGAACCCCCTTGTTGATGAAACACTAAAGACAACTGTAATTCCAAGGTGAGACACTAGGAAGAGATTTTACTGATTTGGAAAAATTGTGATTTTTCATAAAGATGTTGAGGGTTAGTAAATTACCATTGTTCTGCTTTAGGACTTAAGGGTGTTTTTTTTTTCCTTACCACTTAAAATGATGTCTCACGTATGGGATGAATTCAGACTTGAATCTTAATTCTACAGCAAATGTCGTCATTGCACCCAACTGCTGGCTTCCCATGTGTGTGGCCGTAGGCTCTGTAAGAGTCTCTGTGGAATAGGTGGCTAGACATGCATGCGTCTCTGTCAATTCCAGGAGAAAGTAGCAAGGCTGGACAGGATCGTGGCAGAACACAATCAGTTCTCCCTCGGGATGAAAGAATTACAAGACTGGATGACCGACGCGGTTCACATGCTGGACTCCTACTGTCACCCCACGTCGGACAAAAGCGTGCTGGACAGCAGGATGCTCAAGCTAGAGGTGTGCCCCGCAGATCTCTGCCTTACAGAGCTTGTTAGCTTCACAGTGTCTCGAGCCTTCATCTGCTGGGCCTGGTTATGCACCACTGTGTCTTTGAGACATCTCCCAGCGCTTTGTGGGAGTGGTGGTATGAGAGCATCTCTCCTGACAGACCTGAGTTATGTGACCCTAGTTGTAGGATCAAAATACAATCAAATAAAACCCATATTATTTACTGTCTTGACAGCAGATTGAGGCTCAGCCATGTTTATTTGGGGGAGATATGTTGACGCTGAATTTTATAGGGTTAAAAACATTGTTCACCTTACTCAGCTTTCTTGGCTGCCTGTTTCAGTCAACTCCTCCCATGCTAAAAGGCCAGAGTTATTGAAGTTGTGATGAAAATAATGAATCTGCATTTGTGGATGTCTCCTTTGTCTCCTGGGTGACCTCTAGCCCACTATGGCTGTGTCTTGACACTAGGAAATCAAAGGTGAATGAAATGTGGCCTTTGTCCTCCAACATTCCCTCCTCTGAGACTGAAGTTGAAAGGCAGGAGACAATCGCACAGCTGGAGATGTGTGTGAGGCTGTTGGAGAATAGGATCTTGGGAATTTTTAAGAATAATAGAGGAATTCCCTGGCAGAGGAGTGGGTATGGATTTGAGGATATTGCTACAGACAGGAAATGGCTAGCAAAAGGCAGATGCAAGAATACAAGAAGTTGCTCAGACCTTTTTATTGAGGGGTTGATTATTTTATGCAGTGAGGACCACATGTGTCTAGAGGGAGGCTGGAGGGAATGCAAGGCCCAGCTTAGAAACAGAAATGAGGCTCTGCCTTTTCAGGGGAAGCTGCTACCAGCTTGATCAGAAGAGGGCTTACAGAGGACTTGACGTATCTAATCTCTTTCCATAGAGATGTTCTGCCACAGACCTGAACTTTTATAAGCTTTTCTTCCTGTGACCTTTGAGACTTCATGAATTCTACTGTAATATATTTTTCCCTGTTAAAGCCAGGGAGATAAAATATCAGTGGAAGAAAAGGACTATTTAGAAAAGGCTCAAGACTGGTCAAGACGAGAATCAGTGCCAGAGCTTCTTAGAGGCTGGCAGGTGACTCGTTCCCGTCACTCATGACATGCTGCTACCTTCAGGACCTCTGGAGCATTTGAAGGCAGAAAGAGTGGGTGCGATACAAAGGTCTTCTGTGCTTGCTTTTCAGGCCCTGTTGTCAGTGAAGCAGGAGAAAGAGATTCAGATGAAAATGGTAGTGACCAGGGGAGAATACGTCCTGCAGAACACCTCTGCGGAGGGGGCACCTGCCATCCAGCAGCAGCTGCAGGCTGCGAAGGACATGTGGGCGTCCCTCCTGTCCACCGCGATTCGCTGTAAAAGGTGAGTGCACTCTGCACTCTGGCCAGCTGTTATGGACAGACTCTCCCTTCTCTTTCCCTTTCCTTAGTCCTTTCCCTTTCCCACTCTTTCTCTCCCTTTCCTTCCCATCTCTTCCTCTCCCTTCTTCCTCTTTACTTTCTGCTTTCCTTTCTCCTCCCTTCCTCTCCCCTCCCCTCTCCTCCCCTTCCCTCTCTTTTGTTCTTATTCTTCTTTACTTTCTCCTTTCCCCTCCCCTTCCTCTCCTCCTCCCATCTCTCATAATATATTAAAACAAACGAGCAGGTATAAACTCGCACTTCGTTTGATCTGTAATACTTTGACAGTGTTTTGATATAGCTAATTAAAAATTACATGTTTCTTTTGTTGCCCAAAGTCAAAAGATAAATCTCTGTTTAATGATAATCATGGTACAGATATCGTAATTGAAACCACATAGCCCCCCCTGGACCCTGGGCTGCTGGGGCGGGCAGAGCAGCCCCAGTTACAGACATCGGACGCATAGAGCGTCACAGTGTATACTCCTGTGCTTTCTGTTCCCTGTCAGCCAACTCGAAGGAGCGCTTTCCAAATGGACAAGTTATCAGGATGACGTGCGGCAGTTCACTGGCTGGATGGACGGGATAGAGGGCAGCCTGAGTGAATCGGAAAGGCAGCATGCGGAGCTGCGGGAGAAAGTAGCCGCCCTGGGAAAAGCCAAGGTCAGAGACGGCTCAGGCCTCACTTAACGCTTACAGCATTGGAGGCTTGAGTTCTAATGCCTAATATCTTTCAAGCCCAGAATTCTGTTTGTGCTTCTTGAATGAGTGTAAATGGTCTTCTCCAAGACAGTCACACAAGCCCATGTCATGATACTGACCACTTAAAGTTTAGCCCCTTTTTAATGTCTATTAGTCCCTTCAGACTGTGCATCTTCACAAGTAAAATTGATTTCTTTTTAACACAGTTTAAGATGACCATTTTACCCCCTCCTTCTATACCAGCACTTTTGCATGTTAGACAGACACTCTAAGCTCTATTAGTATTTTTGAATCTCCTTATAATATCCAAGGAGGCTCTAACTACCGAAGGCCTTTGAATTTTAGTCACGTTAGGACATACCATATACTAAGGCGTAATTATCAACGTCTGCATAGAAATCACGGGAGCACCAAAATTCATGCCCCAGTGAAAGTTCTAAATTGGGAATCTCCTTATCCCTACTTCCTTCTTTCCCATTCCCAGTTCAGTTTGCTACTAGTTCTGCTGAGCCCGCCTCTTCCTGGCATTACAGCAAACTTATTTCTCACCTGCTTCTCTCCATCTCTGCCACCATCATGCAAGGCAAATAGCTCCAGGGGCCATAGCTAGCTGCACTGTGTATATGGCGTGTTCCTCCTGGGTGGTTTGTAAGAATTCTACAGTTTCCCCGAGCATTCCCCCTTTCCTCTTCTCCCATTCTCACCTACCATCTCCACACTGCCAAATCTGATACAGCACCGCTTTAAAAGATTCCCTGCCTTCACAGAATCTCTTTCCTTCCCGAAGGGGCCTTCCCCTTCCTGCCGGCTTCCTGCCACCTTGGTTTACTTCAGAAGTCATTTTTTACTACAATGCCACTCTACCCAGCCCAGGATGAATCAGTAGTTCCCTCCTCTCACAGCCCTTCTTCATTTCTTCATCATTCATGTTACACAATGTGTCCTTCATGTCCCTCTCCTGCAGTAGATAACGATGATAGTGATGCTGAATTTCCCTTGTTGACCTGGCATTTGGCTCTGTCAGATGCCAAGCAAATGCCGTTACAGTAACTCAAATGACTAACTGGTCTTGCATGACCTGTGCCAAATTGCTCTATTTCTGTGTCTTACTTCTATATCTGTAAACAGTAATCATAATGGTCTGCTTGGTAGTTATCTACATTTATTACCTGCCATTTCAGTTCATTGCCTGATGAGTAAATAATTCATCTGTTTAGTCAATATGTGTTGAGATGTTGCCATGGGTAGACACAGTGTCCCACTATAGGTAAACAAAACATGGAGGTTAGGTATAATTTATGGAGGAGAAGGGAAAAACCAAATCGTTTAAATAGGGATATAGGTGAATCCATTGCAACAATGAGATGTACAAGTGGTTATGTCGAAAACGAACTTTACAACTTTGGTGGGGGGGGAGGAGGATTGTGTGGGGAGGCGGGGGGGGAGAGGATGGGAAGGGATGGGAAGGGGAAACAAAGGAGGAGGCTACAATGCTTGATAAAAAAATATACTCATTATCTTGCCCATGTAATTGTAACCCCTCTGTACAGTATTTTCACAAGAAAAAGAAAAAAAAAGAAAGGAATTCCACCAAAAAAAAAATTCTGGTGGCCACACACACACACACACACACACACACACACACACACACACTCACACACAGTGAGCTTAGGGATAAATAAGTAACTATGACTGGGAAGTGCTGTGAAGAAATAAATATGGTATGGTGAGAGGAAAGAGCTAACACAGACTGCTGGGTCAGGAGAAAGGCACAGGAGAGATCGCTTTGAAACAGGGCATATATTGACTATAGCCTAATGGGTTTGTGCAAAGTAATCTGAGCAAAGTTGGGGAAAGAATATTCTAGATAGAAGAATCATGTCTGCAGGCCCTAAGGAGGAAGAGGTTGCGGTACAATAGGGGCAGAGAGAAAGGTAGAATGTTGTTAGAACAGAAGAGCCGGGGGGTGGGGGGGGATGAGCCAGCAGCGGGTAAGTTGTGGGAGGAGGCAGAAGACGCCCCCTGCACTGTCCTCATGTCTCCTGTTGACTCCCTGGCCCACTCTGCCTAAGAGACTGTTGTAGAAGTGAGGGATGAGAACAGTGGGCGTGAGGCGTTGCAGCAGACACAGAGAGAACTGACAGGGTTACATTGTGGATGAATGATGGCGGTGTAGGGAGGTGATGCGCCACTCCGTGTCCTGCATTAGCCACCTGGAATCTGGGCGGTAGATAGTAGCATTTACTGTTTGGAAAAGACTAGATGAGAAAGAGGGGTAGGGAGGAAATCAGGAGCCCATTTCTACATAGACGAAATTGGAGATCTCCAAGGAGAACTGTAAAGTAGTTACATGAGAATTGGTGACTCAGAAAAAGTTCTGTAGTCCATACGAAATACACAGACATATTCCCAAGTAGGTGTTTGTCCAGGTACAAATGTGTGTGCTTTATAAATGAATGGACTTATGGGTGGATGGATTATCTAACATCACTGTTAACTCTGCATTAAAGACTTAGTTTGAAAAGGATAATAGATATGATTGGTCATGGATAACCCTTTCACTTTTGAAAAACATTCTCTAGTTATTAAATGAAGAAGTACTAAGTCATAGCAGCCTGCTGGAGGCGATTGAAGCCAAGGGGGCGGGCATGACAGAGCATTATGTCACCCAGCTGGAACTTCAGGAGCTGCAGGAGCGATACCAGGCGATCAAAGAGAGGGCCAAGGTAGGGCTAGCCCACTTCCAATGGGCTCATCCAAGAAGTATTTGGACCTGTGCTTATTTAAACACTTGTTTATTTTTTTAGTTATTTTTATTATTTATTTTATTTTATTATTTTATTATTTTTATTTTCCTAGTGGAAACAGAGCAAAGCCTAATAAATTGTAATATATTCAAGGTATCACTAGGAAACCCGAACAAAAATCTTCAAATACAAATTAATAAAGTAAAATGCTTCTCAGCTAAAAATTCCTAGAAATGTAACCATTTCACAGGAATATGGAATAGCTTTATAATGAAGACACATAAAAGCCTTACTATGTCTGCTAATGATAGCTTTATATATAGATAATCACAATAATATGTGTAATTCTTTATCTAGGCTTCATCAAGAGCATAAAAAGAATTTTATTTTCAGTATTGGGATTTGAATTCAGGGCAGTGAGCCATATTTCAAGCCCTTTCTTATTTAGATTATTTTTTAGATTAGGTCTTACATTTTTGCTCAGGGAAGCCTTGGACCACTGCTCTCTTGTCTGGGGCTACAGTTACATACCATTGTTCCTAGCTGGTTGATTGAAATGAGACTGCACCAAATTTTTGCCAACAATGGCCTTGACCATGGTCTTTCTAGTCCCAAGTAGGTAGAAAAGAAAAATACTTTTTGAAGAGCACATTCTACTATATTTTCCAGATTTCAGAAAGTTAATCCACAGTAAGCTCAAATTCTTATTTAATACACAATACAGGAATTTCATTTTTTGTCATCAAAGATGAATATTTATGAAATGTAAAGCTTATTCACTTCTTGGAATGTCTTGTCAACATTTCGTTAAAAATTTGGAGTTCTTGTAATTCATTCAACAAATGATCTTCCAGAACACTTTCAGTCCTGAAATATTTTTTCAAGCTTTGCTATATAAATCTTAAAATTTTGAACTTATAGAAATTCATTTATAGGCTGATGATTTAATTATTGTGCTTTTCTAACATTCCCAACAGAGATGCCTCTAACACATTGATACTACATACATGAATATATTTCTATCTTAATTGTGGTGCCAGTACTGGGGCCTTGAAATCAAGACCTTGGGCTGTCATTCAGCTGTTTGCTCTTGGCTAGTGCTCTACCACTTGAGCCATGCCTGTAGACCAGCATTTATGAAGATGATGATGATGATGATGATATTAATTGAGATAGTGTCCCACAGACTTTTCTGTATAGACAGTCTCTTAACCTAAATCCTCAGATCTCAGCCTCCTGAGTAGTGAGGTTTACAGGTGTAAGCTACCACCAAGTCTCTCTCTTAATCATCTTACATGCTAATTCCAGGAAGCAGTAACCAAGGATGAAAAACTTGTCCGCTTGCACCAAGAGTACCAGAGAGACTTAAAGGCATTCGAAGTCTGGCTAGGGCAAGAACAGGAGAAGCTCCAGCGATATTCCATTCTTGAAGGAGATGCCTGCACCCAGGAGACAACACTGCGAGATCTTCAGGTAAAGTCTTCTGTATTCAGAACCAGGGGGTTCTTCACAGGGAACATGGGAATTATTATTTAAACCAATGGGCGATTACTACAGATACCTGATACATATTCATATGCACTGAGGGCAGACCTGGTAAGACTTAATCTAAGGGATTTTTGTGTCCTTGGAAGTAAAGACAAGTTGAGATCCTGGGGTAGACGTGTGTGTGTGTGTGTGTGTGTGTGTGTGTGTGTGTGCGTGTGTGTGTCTGTGTCTGTGTCTGCCTGTGCCAGTGCTGAGTCTTGAACTTAGAGCCTCATACTCTTGCTTAGCTTTTTCTGTTTAAAGCTGGTACTCTACCACTTGAGCCATTCTCACTTCTTTTTATTTCTGATAAATTGGAGATATGTATCTCACAGACATTCCTGCTCAGGCTGACTTCAAACCATGGCCCTCATATCTCAGATTTCTGAGTAGCTAAGATTATAGGCATGAACCACTAGCACTTGGCTTTTGGTAGGAAACATAAACGGTCAGAGCTGGTTCTCTTAGGAAATTCGTTCAGCTACTAGGGTGCTGATGGCTCATGCCTGTAATCCTAGCCACTCAGGAGGCTGAGATCTGAGGATTACATTTTGAAGCCAGCCCAGACAGAAAAGTCAGTGAGACTTTTATCTCCAGTTAAGTACCAAATAAGCCAGAAGTAGAGCACCTAGTAACCTTACATTGACTGACACACCTGCCTATTCCCTGAAACACAGGCTTTGATGTGAATACAACAGCAGACACAATTTTAAGTCAAACTGCTCAGAGTATCTTAGGCTCATGGTTTTAACCCTAACTCCTGATTCCCCTGCTGAGGACACAGTTCCAGAAGCAGAGTTCTAGAAAATGGAAGAACTAGAGAAAGGGTTGGTACTCAAACAGCAGGTTGCAATTCTTGGCAAATGGCAGATCCAGTGGGTAAGTTGGCTTAACCAATTGCCTTGTTCAGTCATTTAGCACTTACCAATAAAGGTAAAAGCTGTAGGCAGCAGATGAGAAGAATACATGTTTGTACTGGTACGTACCACATGATTTTGTAGGCCTTCTATGTCCCCTGGGCCACAGGTGCCCCATCCCCACAAGATGGTAGATAGATATTTCTATGGTTAGAAACAGAACTATAAAATACTGTTTGCCAACATCCTTAATTATATGATTTTTTCCTTTCTACTAAAAAAAGTATACTTTTTGAACAAGCCTTGGTCATACTGAATATTACAGGGTAAATCCTTGGAGGTTAAATGTGTTTATACCTGGGTATCACTTTGGTCTGATAACCCATCCTCTCAGATTTGTGTTCTTTGCATCCTCCGAGTCCAGCTTGATTTGTCCACAATGTTCCTATTAGTCCCGCCCTGGCCAAGGATCTGTCCTTTGCAAAAGAGGATCGTTTGATGTCAAAGCAACAAGCCTTGGGCACCTCCTGAAGATTACAAGCTGTAGTAAGCCTCAGTTATGTCTTGCCATTCTGCAGAATAAAATCATACTGAATTAATGGGAAGTGCAGGCTGTCCCAGTTGGCTCGAGTCACACCTGCTGCTGGTGCAGGGTGAACTGTGGGTGATGTATGACAGCCACGCCTTTTCCCTGCAGGAGCTGCAAGTGCGCTGTGCAGAGGGACAGGCCCTGCTCAACTCAGTGCTGCATACCAGAGAGGATGTGATTCCATGGGGCATCCCACAGGCAGAAGACCGGGCCCTGGAGTCGCTCCGGCAGGACTGGCAGGCTTACCAGCACAAACTGTCCGAGACCCGGATGCAGTTCAACAATGTGGTGAATAAACTGAGACTCATGGAGCAGAAGTTCCAGCAGGTGGATGAATGGCTCACGAAAATGGAGGAGAAAGTTAGTGTGAGGACCGAACGGCAGTCTAATCGGGCGACCAAAGAGATGCAGCTACATCAGATGAAGGTACTTCCCATGAAATTCCTGACCCTCTTCAAACCAGTACTTAGCTTACATACTTTGCTTGTTACAATATTTGATTTTTGCTGGATGCTGATGGCTCATGCCTGTAATCCTAGCTACTCAGGAGGCTGAGATCTGAGGATTACAGTTTGAAGCCAGTCCAGACAGAAAAGTCAATAAATAAAAAAGTCAGAAAAGTCCAGTTAAGTATCAAATAAGCCAGAAGTAGAGCTGTAAACTCAAGTGGTAGATCACTAGCCTTGAGTGCACAAAGCTCAGGGACAACACTCAGGCTCTGAGTTCAAGCTCCAAGATTGGCAGAAAAAGTTAATTTTCCAAGGCTTAGATTTGGGAAGATTGCTTTCTACTTGTCTGGAAAGTTAAAATAAGTAAAATGTTTCATAAACTAGTCTTTAATAGTTTAATATTTTGCCTTTTTTCTTATCCTTTATTGCCTGTTACTTGGTAAAAATACATAAATGATGGCAATACATTATTTAAATTATGTTTCTAATATGTAAATTTTTAATATGATACATTAAAATAATACTTCATAATTATTATACAATTTTCATTTTTATGCATTTCTCCATTCACCTATCCAAAATAATTCACAGGCATTTTTTCCCATTTTTCACCAATTAAAAACTTGATCTAAGTGCAAGAGCACATGTAAAAACATATATATCAATATTTTAAAGAAGTTTTAAAACTGAGTATAAATATATCCAGAAAAGTCTCTAGATTCATAAGCACAGTTTTCTTACCGTTTCGGTGTAAGGTGATTTTATGATGCCTTTTCAAAATCATATTTCAGGCTAATAATATTCTAAACGTATATGCTGAAGCAGTGCTGTATTAGGAAGATGCATACAACACCTGTCTTACTCAAGAATGAGTAGGGTTGAGCCTTTGCCTGTCATCCTTCCCTCATTTCAGAAATGGCACGAAGAAGTGTCTGCACACAGAGACGAGGTGGAGGAAGTGGGAACTAGAACCCAGGAGATACTAGATGAGAGCCACGTCAACAGCAGGATGGGCTGCCAGGCCACCCAGCTCACCTCCAGATTCCAGGCCCTGCTTCTCCACGTGCTGGTGAGAGGACCACCGCTGCTCGTGGAGTCCAGCCAGCCTCACAAGGCCGACGGGAACGCGCTCATTTACCTCCAGTGTCAATGCCCAGTGGTCCTCCAACACCCTCACCCAGGCTTTTCCTCATGGTTCAATTTTCTCTTTGTTTTTGTAGGAGCAAATCAAATTCTTGGAAGAGGAGATCCAGAGTTTGGAGGAATCTGAGTTAGCCCTTGGTTCCTATTCTGACTGGTACAACTCTACTCAAAAGAATTTTAAGAACGTGGCTACTGAAATGGATAGAGTAGATAAAGAGATGATGGGGAAGAAACTCAAGACCATGGAGGTAAGCATGCAGCCATTCCTGCTGGGCTGGCACCTGTCCTTCTTCTATTCCTCATGTAGATCGGGGAAGCCCTTGTGTTCATCCTGATACCACGTGGCCAGTGATCCTCAGCTACTCATTTCCCTCCAAATATTGTTAGAAGCTCTTCCAGGCCAGAGCTGGTCTCTACCTATGTGTGATACGGTATCATCTGAATGGCCTACGCACAGAAGCACAGATGTCTTAACAAGAGAATGCTTGACACTTACATACTAAGAGAAAAAAAAAATCCATATCAGATCTATGACCTGTGTCTTAATGAAGAGATGTAACTCATGATCTGGAGGTGGTGGTGCATACCTGTAATCTTGAACACTTGGGAAGTGAAGGTAGAGGGATCTCATTGTGAGATTATCCTTGGCAAAAGCATGAGACGCTATCGTAGAAAGAAAGCGAGAGCACAAGGGTTGGTGGTCAGGGGCAGGGTGCTTGCCTAACAAGGCTCATCATCCAGATTTCTAGAGAGACTGCTAAGAAGTCTCTAATTTAGAATCTATGTACTAACGATCTGCAGAAGGAAAAAAAAAAAAGAATACCTCTAGGGCTGGGAAGGTGGCTCAGTAGTAGAATGCTTGCCTCACATGCATGAGGCCCTGAGTTCAATTCCTCAGCACCACAGAAACAGAAAAAGCCAAAAGTGGGGCTGTGGCTCAAGGGGTAGAGTGCTAGCCTTTAGCAAAAGAAGCTCAGGGATAGTGCGCAGGTACTGAGTTCAAGCCCCAGGACTGGCAAATAAAAAAGTGCTTCTGATTCCTGACCAGGTCAGACCTAGAAATAGACTTTACAATACAGATACCTCAAGAATGGGTCTGGCGAGCCTTTCTTAAAAAGGAATAAAATAGAATTATATTGGCTTTTGTTTTGCTGTCTTTCTCAGGTTTTGTTAAAAGACATGGAGAAAGGCCAAAGTTTGCTGAAATCAGCCCGAGAGAAAGGAGAGAGGGCCATGAAATTCTTGGAGGAGGACGAGGCGGAGACGCTAAGAAGGGAACTGCACAGTCACATGGAGCAGCTGAAGGAACTGACCAGCACCGTGCGGAAAGAGCACATGACCCTGGAGAAGGGTCTTCACTTAGCCAAGGAATTCTCGGATAAGTGTAAAGCACTGGTTCGGTGGATCTCGGAGCACCAGGACATCCTTCGTAGCCCTGAAGAACCCAAGGTGGAATTATATGAGAAGAAAGCTCAGTTATCGAAATACAAGGTAGTCCCTTGCTACCCAAGGTAGTCCCGTGGGGACACCGTGGGAGGGAGGTGACTTGGGCAGGCCATTCTTGGGTGGCTTGGGAGGTGATTTGGGCAGACCGTCACTAGTTCTGGTGTTGATAGCCATCTCTGGCAAGCCTGTTATCTGATACTTCGTCCTACATAGGTTGCTTTGACTAGTTAGATACATACACTGCCTTGGAATTATTTCCCCAGACAGGAAAAATATGCCCAAATTGTTATCCATACAGACCTTTTCTGACCTTTTCTTTAGATTCTAGCTCATCTTCATGGCATCAGGATGGTTTCCAACCATCTTTTGCTACCTAGAATGATAAATTAAAAATGAGATGCTATGATTGAAAGGCAGTAAGTTTGCATTGACCAACAGTAGTTGAACAGCTTAGAAATAAATATGAAAGAATAAATACTAATACCAATACTGGTGTACTCAGTATCGAGATTTCATCTGCTAAAATTTTTGAAGCAATATCAAAGTGTATTTATAAACATTTGTGTTTTAAATGGACCAAAAATAATATAGTGATAATCATGACTGTGCTGGCTTATCTCCACTTTTTTTCTGCGAGAATCTTGTGCAAACACCTCCAACCAATGTCTATTTCTAGGCTTGGCCTCCTTCCTTGCCAAACTTGGCAGCTTGTCTTTGAAGATGGCACATAAGAATCACAGCCCCTTCTCCCCAACCCTCAACCAAATTCCCCATCTACTTAAGGAACACTTTTATCTTATCACAGCAAAATGCCAGCTGGAATTTATCTCCCTAAGGCCATGTCTCATTCAAGCTGGAACAGACTGTAAGACTTCAGAATCCAAAGAGAGTGGGCCCACTCCATTTTATGCTGAGATTTCTTGATCTCTGCCAAAAGGAATGAAGTGGAAGACAGAATGATCAACTGGGTCATAGTTAGCCAATGAAATTCTGTTCCCTATTTTCTTCTCCACCTAGTAAGAGCTATGTGACTACTCTCCTTTGGCAGCTCATTTTACAACTGTATTAGCCATCCTGTGCCATTTTCTCTTTAGTGCTTTGTAGTTACTAGTTCCAAAACTATGTTCTAGATCTTTCTCAGTGGTCAGTCATATTATGCCTGGCGCAGTCATCTGTATATTTATCTTGTGAACTCAGTGTTTTGTTCTGTGTTTTTTTGCTTGTTTGTTTTGTCATTCAAGTCACTACAACAAATAGTGTTATCCCATGAACCATCAGTGAACTCAGTGCGAGAGAAGGGGGAAGCTCTTTTGGAATTGGTGCACAATGTCACTTTAAAGGACCAAGTGGACAAACTTCAGAGTGACTACCAGGACCTGTGCAGCATAGTGAAGGTAAGAAGAGACCCAAGGTTAGACACAAGGCAAGACCAGACTCCTTTCTCTCTGTCAGTTGTGAGGACTGATTGGAGTCTGTCTTTTTCCTGTTAGCAGCTGGGCATGTAAATGGCACAAAGGATGTGCCTTCATTCCTATTGCTGCTTTTTTATTTGTTTCATTTGCACTTGGTGCTATGTATGGAATCTGCGGCCTTGTACATGGCCCGTACAAACTCTGCCACTGACTGTACTTCCGCCTAGTCCCGTTCATTTTCGGATGTAAATAATCCTATCTTTCCCATGAATTGCCCTGCGTTTTCTGAAATACAAAGTTTTGAGTGGGTTATTACTGGGTGGACCTCACCTCTAATGGAAACCTGATTTTATAAGGAACGTGTCCTCAGTCTGGAGGCGAAAGTCAAAGACCATGAAGACTACAACAGTGAGCTCCAAGAGGTTGAAAAGTGGCTGCTGCAGGTGTCTGGCAGGCTGGCGGCACCTGACCTTCTGGAAACAAGCAGCCTGGAGACAATTACCCAGCAGCTAGCTCACCACAAGGTAAGATCGGTGAGCAGTGTTGACCAGGCTGCCTGTGAGTGTGTGTGTGTGTGTGTGTGTGTGTGTGTGTGTGTGTGCGCGTGTGCATATCTACAAGTGCAGCAACTCTGGTTATGATGACAGGGTCTGGTTATATAACCCTGGATAGCCTTGATCTCATAATCTTCCTGCCTTTGCTTCTGAGTATGAGATTATAGCCACAGAGAACCACACCCAACCCTGCATTCTCCTGTCATGAATCTCTTAACCTCACTAACTTCTCCTATAGGAATATCCCTGAACACCTTTAGGTCCTTTTTAAGTGTTTTGTCAATACGTTACCAAGATAAATTGAAAACTCTTCCAAAAAAAAAAAAGATGAATTAAGACTGCGAAGTTGTTCATCTTAATCTATTTGACAACTAGTTGGCTCCAAACTGAAGTGGATTTGTGAGAAGTTTGAATCCATTTTATTTTCAGGCAATCATGGAAGAAGTCGCTGGCTTTGAAGAGCGTTTGAGCAGTCTTAAGGAGAAAGGTGACACTCTGATTGGACAGTGTGCTGACCACCTTCAGGCAAAGCTGAGACAGAATGTGCAAGCTCACCTGCAGGGCACAGGGGACAGCTACTCGGCCATCTGCAGCACTGCCCAGAGGGTGAGCATTCTAGAATCTTCTAGAACGTGATGAGAAAAAGCTATCCCCTCTGAAGGAGGTTTTCAGAAAGAGTCTCTCGGTAGCCAGAGAGGAAATAAGGTGGATTTCACAATGAACATGAACACAGAGGAGCAGGCCATCTATTTGGCATGACTAAATTTCAGATATTCGGTTTTATCCATCCCCTTTACTCAGTAAACTGATGGGGAGAAATTGTTTTTTAAGATTGTTTTGCTTGTTTTTAGTTATTGCACACCATCAAAATGTTTTTTTCTAATTTTCCATTTATTCTGTAGCAATTAAAATAAGTGAATTTTTAATCTTCACAATCATCTTTTAAAATGGTGTGCAGCCTAGCTTCTACTCTAATATGTTTATGCATTCATATAGAAATTGAGAAGAGTTGATATCAGTAAGAGGAATATTTCCATTGAAACAGAATCCTTAAGATGATAGAAACAAATCTAAGATCACAAGAATTGTCCTTTTAGTCAAAACTTAGCATGTGAATTGCTTTATATTATTCAAGAACCTTTAAATGATGTCTTAGAAAGTTTTGATAAGTTTTTGAAGAACATTCATGTACTATTTTGTGTGCATGTGCCAGTCCTGGGACTTCGACTCAGGTCCTGGGTGCTGTCCCGTAGCTTTTTGGTTATTTTAAAACAAGTCCTATGTGATGTAAAATTATCTGACACCCCATATTTGAACATTTTACCTTCCAAAGGTTATTTTAAAAGAGGGAAAATTGCAAATGATATCTACAGAGGAAAAGAAGAGAGAAGAGCAAATAGCATAGCTGTGTGTAGAGCTTCTTGGTGAGCTCACTCATCCGCTCACGCAACAGCAACAGACTGATTGTCAGCTACTTCACTTCACCGCAGGCTTTTTTCCCTATGCATTTGAGCTGTAGGGACACAACTTAAAGTGTTTTAGAAAAGACATTGCTGAGTGTTGGAAAGATCAATGTAATTTCTAAACACTTCAAAAGCAGATGAAACAATTCTCAAAAAATGATCGAGAACAAAAATCTTTCTATTCTATTCTGATAGAAGAATAAAATGGATAGACTCAGTGTTAGATGAAAATGATGAGCTTGACAGATGTCAGAGCAAAGCAGGGTTCAGTTATCAGTTCTGTTGTTTCTAGGATGAAAAAAATACCACATTAACCTCATTTCCTACTTTTGTTGGGGGTGGAAGGTGTAGAGGGACGGGAATAGGGTTTGAACTGAGGGCCTCAAGCTTACAAAGCAGGCCATATGGGCCATATACCTCCAGTCCTTTGTGCTTTTATATTTTTCTTACATTTACCCTAGGCTGGCATAGACTATGATCAGCCTGACCTCTATCTCCCAAGTACGTAGGATGACCAGCATGAGCCTCCATACTTGCCTCTCTTATTTTCTTAATAGAAATTTTTGCCCAGGAAACATCACAGGTCTGTTTCACCTTGATCTCAAGGAAATATGTAATTGTTTCCTGATATGCATTTATGAATACATTGGAAATTGGTTGCACAGTTGAGGATTCAGGGATTGAGAAGATATATCAAACAAGTGTATGCATTTCTCTGGGTAATCGTTCTGAAATATAACATGCAAGATGAAATAAAGCATCAGCCTCTCACCCTTGTCTGTCGTCAGTTAGTTCCAGTGTGACCTTATCACTGTATCAGAAGGATCAGAATCAGAGGAATCTTGCTTGTTTCCTTAAGAGGATGTTTTATATTTACTTTTAGTTCCTAGCTTAAACAAAAGTGCAGTATTTATAGCATCTGAGGGGAAAGCTTTAAAAACCTCTGACAGCAGGGTGCTGGTGGATCATGCCTGTAATCTAAGATCTGACTATTACAGTTCAAAGTCAGCCTGGACTGCTCCAGTGAAAGTGGAGCTCAAGTGGTAGAGCACTAGCCTTGAATGAAAATGCTAAGGCACAGAGCCCAGACCCTGAGTTCAAGCCCCTGGACCAGTATAAAACCAAAACCAAAATCTCTTGACATGCTTATTAATTTTTTTATCAATGATTTCATGCATTTCAACACTCTTTTCTTAATCACTGTTCCATTGGGATATGCGAATGGATCAAGAAATTACAGATTGGGATTTGTCCATTACGATTTTGGAACACCTGGGCCTTCCTCAGAGAGGGGAGGGGCTGAGGGGATCCCAGGGGAGACTCCCTTTCTAAGTTCCAGTGTGCTGTGGTAGAGGGCTGCTCTCACGGGCTCAGCGTGGCTGCTCTGTCTCAGGTGTACCGGAGTTTGGAACATGAACTTCAGAAGCATGTCAACCGGCAGGATACCCTGCAGCAGTGCCAGGCCTGGCTTTCTGCAGTCCAGCCAGACTTAAAATCCAGCCCCCAGCCTCCTCTGAGCAGGACAGAAGCCATGAAGCAGGTAGGAAACTCCTGAAATTTGCTCTTCTTTTTTGAAATATAATTGTATTGTTATTGTTATTCAGATGCTGTACAGAGGGGTTAGCACTTCCTAAGTCAGGCAATGAGTATGTTTCTTTTGTTTGTTTTGTACAATATGACCCCAGCCTTTGCTTTTCCCCAGTTTTCCCTTCCCATCCCTGCCCACAAGTTCATTTTCCACTAAAGAACATGACTGTGTTTCTTTTACCCTCTCTTTCTGTGCCACTTGTCCCCCTAAAAAGAAAAAAAAACAAATACAAAAGCAAACACCACTACCACCACCACCCATAAAAACGTTTGTTATTCTTAGGAGTAATTCATTCAGTCAAAACATATGAAGTGTCTTTGATATGGCGTCCTGGGCCAGCTTCTGGGAGCATAAAGCTATAAATAAGCCTGAGGCCGGCTCTAGTTTAGCCCTTGTTCCAGCCAGGAAGATGGACAGTATACTGACAGGTGGGCATGGAGACACAGAAAGCATGTGAGCTGGGTCTGTAACCACGGATCACCTCAGAAGCCTGTCCACTGGGTGGCCATTGGCTGTGTACTTAATTTCTTTGAACTTCAGCTTCCTTACTAATTCAAGTGAGGATGATCAATCTAGTTATTGCTTGGTAGAGAATATGCTATGTAACACATTCTTGAAACATACTTTTTTGCTTAAGTAATTTAGATGATTTATATCAGGAAATTATAAAGTGGGTGGGAAGGTGGCTCAATGGCAGAGTGCTTGCCTCACATGCATGAGGCCCTGGGTTCAATTCCTCAGCACCATATACACAGAAAAAGCCAGAAGTGGTGCTGTGCCTCAAGTGGTAGAGCACTAGCCTTGAGCTGAAGAGCTAAGGGACAGCACTCAGGCCCAGAGTTCAAGCCCAGGACTGACAAAAAAAATAAACTAAAAATATAAAGGTTATATCAGGACAAATCAAATAAAAGGTGGCTCTCCTTGAGTTAATAAGAAATAGCAAAAACAACCAGGCTCTGGGCTGAAATCTGAGGATCACAGTTCAAAGATAGCCTGGGCAGGAAAGTCCATGAGACTCTTATCTCCAATAAAACCTACCCCTGCCCACTCCCACCAAAAATAAATAAATCTTGAAGTAAAGCTGTGGCTCAAGTGGTAAAGCTCTAGCCTTGAGCATAAAAGCTGAGGGACAGGATACAGGCCCTGAGTTCAAGTCCCAGAACTGGTACCAAAATAAAAACAAAAATAAAAAACTAAACTCCAGGGGTTGGGAAGGTGGCTCAGTGGTAGAGTGCTTGCCTCACATGCATGAGGCTCTGGGTTCGATTAATCAGCACCACATAAGCAGAAAAAAGCCCGCAGTGGCACTGTGGCTCAAGTGGTAGGGCGATAGCCTTGAGCTGAAGAGCTGAGGGACAGCACCCAGGCCCAGAGTTCAGGCCCCACAACCGACAAAACAAACAAACAAACAAAAAACTAACACAAACTAAACTCCATGTACATATTCTACCTTCTGAAACATTTACAATTTTTAGCATCTATTAATTGTATAAAGTAAGAGATTTCATTTTGACATTTCCACACATGCTTTTAATGTATTTAGGTCAGATTCATCCTCTTTGCTTCCCTCTCTTACGTCTCTTCTCTTCATATAACCTTCTGTAGCCTTTTACTTTCACACCCTTTATTCTCTACCTTGCACATACAAGAAGACAGCAGACACTTGTAATCCCTGACTGATCTCCACCTCCATCCATGTTCCTGCAAAGGAGAGCACTCTTCTTGGCTGACTAGAACTCCATTGTGGGTGAAAAGAAGCCCCCATTGTGTAAACATCCACATGTTCTTTAGATTTCGAGTTTTCTCCAGTCATTCCTCGTCTTGTGGCTCTTTGTTACCAGCAGATTATTCTCCTTTGTGATAACAAATAATACATAAAGAACAAATGGCAGGGGGAGGAGGAATCTAACGGCTTTTTGCCAGAACAGGACAAGATTTACCACACTTTCCTTAGAGTTAATTTGTAACTGCAGGTGAATTCTGATCCTCCTTGGATTCCAGAGTGTGTGGTTCTGTGGTTAAGTTTCTGCCCTTCTGTAGCTTCTGTCAGTGGGCTGCCACCCGCATGAAAGTAGCCACCCAAAGGAATGAGAGGTGATAGAGATAGTTAGATCTTAGACTCACTGAAGGAGAAAGCGTTGCTTTTACTTCCTTTCTGCCGTTCTTTGTTTTGTTCTACTTTGTTGGCATTCCCCCTTGACATCTATGCTCATGTTAAATGGACGGGGCACTTGGTGTCTGGCTCATGCTACTATATGACTATTGATGACTTCCAAGGCAGACAGACAGGTCTGATTGACATCTTGATCTCAGTCCCAAGATGCATGCTGTTTGCCCAGCACCTCCCCTGTGCTAAATGCTTCACAAATATACAATAACTGTCCACTCCCTGGCCCCAAGAATTTACTTCCATTCAGAGTGGCATATTTTTAAATGGGAAATATATCATATTTGCCTTTGAAGTTTTTTTTCAAAGCAAAAAATCTGTTGCAAGTAGACTATCATAGAGGATCTCCAGGCTGCCTCCAGTTCCTTTGGAACTAGGCCAAGCGACTTAAGACTCAAAATAAATCATCATTAACTGAAATACATTGTTTTAAATGCTAGAGTTCGGATACTATATTCTCTTGGCATTTCTAGACTTTGTTTGGGACAGATAATCATGCGGCACTTTATGTAGTATTTTGGCCTAGTAGGACAATGCTCTGTGTTGATTATGTCTCCACCAGAATCCTGCCCAGCTGCTCACAGTGGCCTTGCTGAGTGCGCCCCCTGCAGACCGCTCTCCACACATGTTAAGAGCGGCCTTGGCCTAGTGCAGCTCATGTGGCTCCCAGTATCTTCCCATCCCATTTAGAATAAGTTTTACCTTTTGTCCCACAGTCTGTGAAGACGCTGTTTCTGCAGTTTCTTATCCAACAAGGGAAGCTTTTTGATAATAGAGTCTCCTTGTCTTAATCCAGTGGGACTAAATCCCTGGCTCTTGGGTGGGAATAGGGGGTGACTGCCCACCAGGGACCTTTAGCAAACCAGACACACTTCCGGTTGCCACCACTGGAAGTGGGGACGATGCTTCTGGCCTGGAATATCACAGACCATCACACCACATTCAGCACATGGTCTTAGCACAAGGAGGTGCTGAGCCTCAGATGTCAATAGTTCTGAGTTTGGAGGCTGAAAAACTGTACACTAGAGGCATGGTCCTCTATATACAGGCCTCCATGGTGACTCAACCTCTGTCCATCTCCCTGACCTCTGCTCCTACCTGTCCACACTGCTCCAGCCTGAGGCTTTGCCCTGTCCTTCCTCCAGTGTGCAAATGTTTCATCTCACGGCAGGGCTGGCTGTTCCTTGCACGCCGGCCGGCCTGGTGCCCCCCCTGAGCTCTTAGAGACACACTCCTCGTGAAGTAACAGCACTTCTTCACGCACACCTCCATTGCCACCTTTCCCTTCCTACCTGCTGCTCAGCACTGCCAGACGCTGCGGCGGGTGCTTGTTTATGCACTCTCTGCTGCTCTCAGAGGGATGCGCGCTTCATGCCTGGGCCCTGAAACGCAGCCTCTCCACACTCGAAGCCTCGGCGGGGGAAGCACTGTTTCGGTGAAGGGATGAGAAATCCCTTGGTGCTGGAGGTGTGGCCCAGCTGGTTGAGCACTAGCCAATGCGTGAAAGGGGCTGCAGGGACCGAGTTTGAGTCCCAGTGTTGATCCTAGAAAGAAAAACGAAAAGAGATGAGAGATCCAGCAACAGCCTTTCTTGAGTTTCTGGAAAGAAGAGAGCAAGCCATGAACTTCTTGTATGGACAGGAAGTCTCCAAACTCACTCTGATCACTGTTTTGTCTCCAAGATGGGCGTGTTCAAAGCAGATGGTGGTTGGCCATGCATTCTTTCTGCGAAAGGAAAGAGCATTGGGAATGGCAGCAGGGCATCGGGGAGGACTGGAGAAGGCCCTCTGTTTCCCCCTTTCCCAGGCAGAGCAGACAGCTCTCATTACAGTGAGAAGCAGATCGGGGCCACACAGACCCCTGTCAGTGTGGTTGGAATTCTGCTCTGCCGATCACTATCGGATGTCCTGACAATGGTGAGAACACTGTGTGAGGCAGGGTTTGTTTTATTATCTGTGTGTGGTATGTATGCCAAACTTGGGGTTTGAAGTTGGGGCCTCGTGTTCTTCTCAGCTTTCTGTTCAAGACTGACATTCTACTACTTGAGCCATGCCTCTACTTTCAACTTTTTGCTGGTTCATTTAAAATAAGAGTGTGTTGTCAGCCTGGGCTAGATTATAATCAAGATCCTCAGAGCTCAGCCTCCTGAGTTGTGAGGATTGTAGGAATGAGCCACCAAAGGCCCGGCTGTTTTCAACCCGTCAACGAGGTATTACTAGTGGTCCGAATCCTGACAACTTCGACAATGTGTTTGTGTGCTTTATTCTGATCCTTGTGTTATATTCAGGTGAAACACTGCCGAGCTCTGCAAGAACAGGCAAGAACCTACCTGGATCTTCTGTGCTCTCTGTGTGACTTGTCCAACCCCTCAGTGAAAGACGCGGCGAAGGACATTCAGCAGACAGAGCAGATGGTAAAGGAAAAAAAGAGAGCAAGAAATAGAAAAAAGAAACAAACCAAAGTTAGAAATTCCACTGAATTGTCTGTTTTGTAGTGTTCCCTTCCTGGAATGATAGAAGTAAGGTTGAAAGAAAATAGCTCTTGCTTTCTTCCTGTTACATTCCAATGGCCATTATAATAAGTTCAAATTCACCCAGGTTGTCATAGAAACCAAAGTGTGGACTGAATCATTGAGTCCCTTTCTAGTTCTATCATTCTCTCCCTCTTCCTCTTCTCTTTATAATTTCATTCTCTTTTTCTTTTTTCTTTTCTTTTCTCACATCTTCTGTTTTTGTTCTTTTCTCCTTTTCCATTGTTTTCTTTAATTAATATTTAAAAATGAAGGCTCCTCGACTCTGGCTTTATTTAGTATATCTGTATTGACTCATCTAATTTCCTGGCTACGGCTCTTCATGTTGAGATGGATTCTGCAGTGTATGTGGCTGCTTTGGAAAGTGCTATGATGAGTTATCAAAACCTGACCTCAAATCTAGTGTGGTGGTACACTTCTGTAATCCTGGTACTTGGGAGGCTGAGACAAGAAGATCATGAATTTGCAGCCCACCTTGGCTGCATAGTGACATCCTGTTGAAAAGGAAGGAAGGAAGGAAAGAAAGGAGGAAGGAAGGGAAGGAGGAAAGGGAAGGAAGGAAGGAAGGAAGGAAG